GTGTGTGTATGTGTGTGTGTGTCCGGGGGGGGGGTGGCACCATCCTAGCGCAGGTGTTGACTTCTTGTTGTTTTTTCGCCCCCCCCCCCTCCCCCTGCCCACCCAGCAGTAATGGGTACCTGACCTCCAGTTGAGAAAGTAAAGGCGACGTGGAAAGGAACTGGCCACCCTACCACACTATGCCGACGGCCCAGGAAGTTGTCTCACTAACCAGGCAATCCTCAATGTCCGGATCGGACGCGGGAACAACTTTATTTACAAGTTTTTTTTACGCCCCCTTCGTCACGATCTGGACCAGTTAGGAGACGGACTTTGACCTCGCCTATCAGAGCCATCCAGAGCTGGGAAGAATACAACCAACATGATTGATTGGGTAGATGTTTTACGGCACTATCGACACAATTTACAACCAACGTCCCAACAGAAAGACCGAGATACTCGAGACAAATGCTCCCCTCATAAGAATTGAACTCAAGTCTTCTGCTTGTTTGTCTTGTTTTAGTAGAGTTTTACGGCGCTCGCAACTGCATAAGGTCATATGAGCGCCAACGGGTGGGTGTCAACAGAGAAGTCCTTACAGGGAATCAGACTTACTCTGCTCACCTCTCTAGCTTCAACAGCGCAAAATCTTCTTTGACTATCAAGGCACCCCGGAAATAGCGGGTCACAAGAGAATGACAAACATACAAAAGAAGTAGAGGAAAATGACGATAGTAAGGATGAGGAAGGACAGACTTTGACCGTGCCTATCAGGCCCCGCCAGAGCTGGGAAGGATACGACCAATGTCCCAGCAGAAAGATCGAGATTCTCAGGACAAATCCTCCCCACTGCAGAACCGAACTCTTTTTCTTTTCTTTTTTCCCCTTGCCCATGTCTATTAATTATGAGGACGCCATCTGATTATTAGAAAAATGTTCGTATGATAGGGCCCAATAGTGTATAACGTACTTAATTATGTTAGAGAGTCTAACAGGAAATTGTTACAGATAGATTTCAAGATAATTATAGATGTATGTCAAAGGTCTGAGGGCTATGACGATTTTAGAGATGATGCTGGTGGTGGGGATAAGTGATGAGGTGGGATGGTGTTTATGTAAATAATTATTAAGAAGACATGCTTCTGTTAGTTGAGGGGTTTTTATGTTAGCGTTAGTCCTATCTTCCTCTGTCCCAATGAGTCACGAGGGATGTGGGCACCCGCTATCCCGTTCCCTACTGGAAAAATCTTTAATGTCACCATGAAGTTCCGTCGAGAATCGAACTCAAGTCTTCTTTTTTTTTCTTTTTGAAAAGTTTTAGTAGAGGTTTTACGGCGCTTGCAACTGCATAAGGTCATATGAGCGCCAAGGGGTGGATGTCAACAGAAAAGTCCTTACAGGGAATCAGACTTACTCTGCTCACCTCTCTAGCTTCAACAGCACAAAGTCTGTTTCGACTATCAACGCACCCCGGAAATAGCAGGTCACAAGAGTGTGACAAACATACAAAAGAAGTAGAGGAAAAAGGACAATAGTATGGATTAAGAAAGAAAAAGCAGCAGTTCCGCACTGCAGTTCAAGCAGTCATGAGCAAGACATTGATGAATCAGCCCATTTACAATTACAATTCTACTGTGCATAAGGTTTCAAACCCGGGTCTTATTGAACGAGAGGCGAGCACTGTAACCTCTAGACCCCGAGAACCCACAAACTGACATTTCAAAAGGTGTGCAAACTAGGGTCATTTGGTGCACTATATATCTACATCATTAACCCAAAATATCAATTTCACTTGTGTTGTACGAAGAATACATTTCTTTCTTCTTTCAAGAAGAGACGAAGGAGAGCATAAAAACGCCAAAATCGTTGAGCTAAATTGACGCTGATATCAATATTCAAAGCTTCCGTTAACTGGCCTAATAACTTCCTGCCTTTCGAGGCTCGATCCATGTTGGAGGTAGGTAAATATGTACCCCTGAGCAAATCCTGAACGGCCCCTGTGTAATTATGCCGACGCCAAAACTTGAGACAAAAAAATGACAGGCGTTTTAGAAGAAAGGCGGACCTGGTAATGGAACCACTTGATCTATTTAGGCAGATTGTTCCGAGAGGTAAGCGAAACAGGGCGGGTCCGTGTCTTATAAATGACCAATAAACTGTTCTCTCGGCGTTATCGTCAGTGCATGGTGTGTTTCTGTGTTGGGACAACCAGCTCTCGGAAATGACTGTCTGTACGTGAGTGTGATGAAGGAAAAGTTTACGAAATGTTTATTGGTGAATGTAAATCTTAACGTCTTTACTATCGCACCCACCACTTTCCAAAGAGGAAATTTACTCGTTAATCCGATCCGTACGCTTTACATAGCAGCAGTCTGTCAAAGTGATTTTGTGAGAAATACTGAAAGTTTCAAAGAGGTCTTCGTACACGAAGTATTCTAAAATGACCCCAGGGCGTACGGATAGGGTAAAGCTTAATAATGAATGTAAAGCTTTTTAATGAACGTAAAGTTTATTAATGGGT